AAACCGTGGTCGACTACATGGGAGTCCAGCAACATAGCCATTACGCTAACTGCTGGTCCCACAATTGTGACATTTTGAGAAGTTTTTTTTTTCCCTTTCTGAAAAACATTGAACATCATCCTAGACTCATCATATTTAAAAAAAAACTGACTTATGACATTTATAGATTCATCCTAACAAGAACACTGGACACTAGTCCTTGAAGATATGAGTTCAACAACTCTGGTAAAAGCTTTAAGGCCCTTTTTGACCTGCATGCAGGATGTTCCTTTTCCCTACTTGTACTATTATAGGTTTCTTTTATTTATTTATTTTTTAATTAAGATTTTTGCTACAGGACACATGCCCTTGCCAGAGATAAAGAGAGACAGAGACAAAGTGAGAAATCACCCCCAGGGGAGATGGCCATGCTGCAGTCTCTTCTCCTTCATTCTCCTCTTGGGATTTTGGGCACACAGGCACACACATGCCTGGCATGAGTTTTAAGCTGCCAGGTCTGGGACTTGAACCTTGGTCTGCTATGTGAGAGTCCAGCAGTGTAACCATTACATCATCTGCTGGTCCCTATTCTTCTTATTTTTTAAGAATTATTTATTTTATTTATTATTATTTTTAATTTGACCAAAGAAAGACAGAGAGAGAAGAAAGTGAGAAAGCAAGCTGCCAGGTCTAGGACTTGAACTGTGGTTGGCCATGTGGGAGTCCAGCGCCTTAACTACAACTCCACCTGCCAGGCCCCTAGAGGTTTATTCTTTATAGACTGTACTTCTCTCAACTCTAGGTTTTCACAGATGATTCTACTAGTAGATTCGATGTGTGTGTGTGTATAGACGTGCACACAAGGGAGGAAGGAGAGAAAGAGAGAAGCATTTTTGACAGGGTCTCACCGTCATAGTTCTCTGCTGCAGCCTCCCAGGGAGCCAGGATTATAGGCATGCACCCTCACACCCCCATGGTGTGTTGATCTGGACCTGGACCTGACCTCCCAAGTGACCTTGTACACCAGTGCCTTCCCACTTTACCACCATGGCTGGGCCTACTAGACGCTTTTGTTTATTCTCACTTCCTAGGTTAGATTAGCTCTCCTCCCAAATGACCCCGTTTATAGACAGCACTCTGTACTTCTCCTGTCTTTATTATAAATAATAATAATAATAATAATAATAATAATAATAATAATAAAGAGTGAGCACATCTCACTCTTTATTATTCTTTCCTTGTTATCCCCCAAACTAGACTCTAAGCAACTCGAGGCCAAGAATTGATTCTTGGTGTTCTTTCTCTCTCTCTCTTTCTCTCATCATCAAATTCTTACCAGTTCTTATCACATAGAAGCTACTAAAAAAATCTATTACTTGAATTAGGACTAATTCATTATCTTCAATGGAAAAAGTTTCACTGTAGAAAAATTGATTCTGAGAATAAGTCATTTCCAATTGAAATCAAAATTAACTTGTCTTTTCCTTCTATGTTAATTAGCCTCTTGGCTGTTAATATTCCCTTTAACGAATATGTGAAACATTCTTTAAGGTTGCTAGATTTTAACCTTTTTTCTCAATATTTGCAAGCTTTTGTTTTGTTTTGAACCTGCATAGATGACTATGTGTTTTAAATAGGACTTCTCATAATGTGAAGTCTTTCAAAGTCCTCAAACGAGCCAACAAAGGTAATTCGTCAACATAATAGCCTTAAAAACAATCAGAAGATTTGTTAGGTTGAAATAAAGACATCACTTTCTCAGATGCTGACTTTGGACCAAAGGAGGCCAGAATTAACCAGATTCCTCTAAATTCTAAATTGAACTGGCTCTTATCTCAGGTAATACACTCCTTGAGAGTTTATAGAGCCTCCAGGTTGGCTTGTTTGCCCGTTATTCCTTGTGGGATTGCCGTGAGTATTGCTATATTCATAGTTAGTGACTTGAGAATTAGGTGATTTGAAAATATTTACTGCTTGAAATAAAGAACTAATATGGGTGGGACATCTGTTTTGTTTTGGTGCTGAGATTTGCATACTTTAACTAGATAAAATTTTGCTGTGGTTTGACAGTAATTTGTATCTTATTCAATAACTTACACATTTGGGATTATACTTACTATTTTAAAATGATAAAAATTGTTTTTAGCCTCCTACATGCCAAGCATGCCAAGTGGAATCTCTGCATATCCATCTGGATACCCTCCCAATCCCAGGTAATAAATTATGTTTGAGTACTTACATCTAGAGTCAGAATAATGGTTGCTAACTAGGGCACTGATAAAAGTTTAGTTACAATTTAATGGTAAAAAGACTTTGTTTATTGGTGGGATTCTATTCTTTTTTTTTTTTTAATGATTTTATTTAACTTTATTTATTTTAATTTGACCAGAGAGGGACAGAATGAGAGAGAGGAAGAGAGAGGGTGAAAGTGATAAAGCAAGCCGCCAGTCCTGGGAGTCCAACTGCAGCCAGCCATGTGGGAGTCCAGTACCCTTATCCACCACGCCACCTGCTGGCCCCAGGATTCTATATTTATAAATAGTTTGAACAGTTTTTTCCAGTCTAGAGAAATACAGCATCATTTATTTACAGAGGAAAATGGTGATGACAGTGATCTTGATTGGCTTTAGGCCTTGAAGTCCTTGCTACTTTTCTTTCAAGAATCTTGTAGATCCCATGTAGCTAGCCTGTTCTGTTCAGGGAGTCTCCCATTGTGAGCCTGGAACCTTCCCATGTGGGTCAGCCTTGCAGAAGATTGTGTTGCCACTGCATCATCATGCCTGTATCAGGGATCTTCAGCATTATTAGCAAGCTGCTTTCATTTCTGGACCTTTCTTAATTTCAGCAACAAATGATATAAGGCAGTAAGCAAGAATATTTAACCATCTACTTTAAGAGTAAATCTAGTGTTACTAATGGAATTACCATCGAATTTCACTGGAATAAATATCTGTAGCTCTAAAACTATAAATTCATTAACTGACAAAATGACAATAACTTCAAGTTTAACTTCTTGAATGGGATTTTTTTTTTTTTTAATGATTATTTGGGACCAGCAGATCGCATAATGGCTGTCAGTGGACTCCCATGTAGTCGACCGTGGTTCGAGTCCTGGGCCCGGTGGCTTAAACTCACACCAGGCATGTGTGCATGCGTGCCCAAGATCCCAAGAGGAGAATGAAGGAGAAGGAATTGCAGCGTGGCCATCCCCCCTGGGCGGGTGATTTCTCGCTTTCTGTCTCTCTCTTTTTGGCAAGCACACGTGCCCTATAGCAAAAACCTCTCCAAAAAAAAATTTTATGTAACTTTATTATTTATTTATTTCAATTTGACCAGAGAGAGAGAAAGTAAGCCACCAGGTCCAGGATTGAACGGTGGTTGGCCATGGGGGGAACTCCAGTGTCCCCAACCACCATGCCACCTGCTGACCCCTTGAATGGGATTCTTAAAAATGCTATCATGTTGGGTCACCTTAACATTTCCTGTTCATTCTTTGCTTTAGTGGGTACCCAGGCTGTCCTTATCCAGCTGGTGGTCCATACCCTGCCCTAACAAGCTCTCAGTACCCTTCCCAGCCCCCTGCAACTACAGTTGGTAAGTACTCTTGAAATTTTTATATTTCTCCACATAAGTAAAGTCAAAGTCTCCTCTTAGGAACAGTACGTTTCATTTTCACATGTGAAATTTCAGATTATTTCTTCCCCTCCATACCACCTACTAACCCAACAGAGTAACAGTTTTACAGAATGACTTTAATTCTCTTTTTTGGGGGGGGAGGGGGAGGTTTTCACTATAGGGTGCGTGCGCTCACCAGATAGAGAGAGACATAGAGACAGAAAGCTAGAAATCACCCCCCCAGGGGGGATGGTCACGCCGCAATCCCTTCTCCATTCTTCTCTCGGGATCTTGGGCACGCACACACATGCACCCAGCATGACTTTTAAGCCACCGGGTCTGGGATGCGAACTGCGGTCGACTACGTGGGGGTCCAGCGACATAGCCATTACACTAACTGCTGATTCCCCAGAATGACTTTAATTCTGATTCTAGTTCTTTTTTTTTTTTTTTAGAATTTTTTATTAAGCTTTATCCATTTATTTATTTACTTATTTTAATTTGACCGGGGATGGGGGGAGAGAGAGAGTGTGAAAAAGCAAGCTTCCAGGTCCAGGATTTGAACCACAATCAGCCATGTGGGAGTCCAGCGCCCTTAGCCACCACACCACCTGCCAGCCTCATAATCAACCTCAGTTTTATTGGACCTTGTGCTTAGTCTGCCAGTTAACTTCTTTCATCTTTTATCACTTGAGACAGCTGAATGATGTAGCACCGTCTCTTTTTCACAGTAGTTACTATTTTAGTGTCTTTAATGAGGTCTGTGCCTACATACTTCTGAAAGTTCGAATTTTTATGTAAACTAATTACATTTCTTTTGTGGTGTGTAGTTGTTTTTGAGAAATACAAATCTGCCATAAGTGTAGGTGAAGCATGTAGACTGTTCTCTTTATGCTTTTTCTTGTGATTATAGAAACCACGTGCTTAAGTAACGAAATCCTTAAGTAAAGAACTGTGTTCTGGTAGTATTTAAAAGGTGAATTGAGGTCCTTTGATTTCTTTGGAGGAAAAATTCCATAGTATATACGGAGCCTGGCAGTAGTATTAGAAGCTTACAAATTCACAGACTATAAATAAAAGCCTCTGTACGCAGCATAATGCATTTGCCAGGTTTGCACTTAATAGCATGAGTCAGAATTCCATTAATCATAGTTTGAAACCTTCCTCCTACTTCAGAGACCAGCCTGTATTTTATTAGAAAAGGAAAAACTCTCATATGAGCTTGGTCCAGTATCTGCATGAGCTCCCGTCTACGTTACGTACACACCGTAGTCTGCCGCTAGCACACAAGCTGGACCAGAGGCCACTATGTGAGCCAGAGCAGGTAGTGGCCAGTAGTGGACATGCTGGGCCAGCCGTTCACTTTGCTAGTTAGGGCGAGATTGGAAGCAGTACTACTGTTCAGATGCTGTATGTTTTACTTGGAGGTTATGTGGATCTCCAATGTAAAATCGCTCTGTCTGGAGGTACAGAACATCTGATCATCAGTAAGTAGGTACTGTTAGGCGGATAGAACTGACTTAGGTTTTGTGCTACAGCTCTAAATCAGACCCTGTATACCGCTGCACTTTGAAGATACTCGCCTCAGTCTTCATTGAGTTATCAAATCCACTGAGTAGAATGTTGATTTTCTCTTTTTAAAAAATTATTTATTAAATTTTATTTATACATTCATTTATTTTTAATTTGACAGAGAGAGAGGAAGAGGGGAAGTGAGAAAGCAAGCCACCAAGTCCAGGACTTGAACCATGGTTAGCCCTTTTTAGCATGGCTGTTGTTCCTTCTTTTCTTTGTCATCTTGGAAGTGAGGCCAGCATCTTGGAAGTGGGATTGTCCAGCACCTTAACCACCATACCACTTGCTGGTCCCAGAATGTTGATTTTCTGATCCTGGAAAAGTTGTTTTGCGTGGTAATGGCAACCTACCTGACATTTTAATAAGGATAGTTGAGGGCTCTTTCTCAAAGTCTGTGTCACTTTATCAGTTGCTAATCTGGGATTGCAGAAGGGCACTTCTGAAATCTGACTCTGGGTAAAGGTCAGAATGTGGGCACTTGACCTTTCACATTTGCCACAAACTCTTAGTCCACGGCTTGTTATTACCAAGTATAGAGAATGTTGAAATTTCCCTGAAATGTTTGAGGGGAAAAAATTTTTATAGAACTGATCAAGATGTAGATGAGAATCACCTACAAGTCTTCTTTTAGTTTGTTTTTGTTTTTTAAACAAAGTCTCGCCGTTACAATCGAGCTGCCCAACCTCCCTACCGGGACTGCAGGCACAGGCCAGCAAGCCCTGCTCTTTTTAAGACAGGGTCTCCACAGATCCTCCTCGCTGCGGTGCCCGGTCCTCTTGCCTCAGCCTCCTGAGTGGGACCACAGGGGCACACCACTGCCCCCAGCCTTCGAATCATATCAGGAATTGACCCAGGCCTCTCATCTGGTCCCAGCCAGCAGAGCAGTGTCTGAGCGGCATGTGCCACCACACGGGGCCAAGTCTTCTTTTAATTTAACATAAACAGTCTCTCCCCCTTTCCTTTTAACCAGAAGTTGCACATGCTCACCAAAGACAGAGAAGGAAAAGAGAAAGTGCTCACCATGGGAATGATCAAACTTAAGTGTGTGTTTAGATCTAGGGATCTGAAAACTTAGCATAAGTTGATCCATCCGATTCCTTCTCCATCTCTCCCTTCTTTGGGGATTTTGGGCACATAGACACCACCTAGCATGTTTTTTAAGCCTCCAGGCCTGGGGCTCAAACCATGCTGTCCATCGGTCATGTGGGATCTGCTGCCATAACCACCTGACCGTGGAGCTGGCCCACTTTTTTTTTTTTCCTTCCTTAATTGTCAATGGGTACACGTGTTTGCCAGAGAGAAAGGAAGAAAAAATACTCCCAGGGTATGGTCACACCACAGTCCTTTCTCCGTTTAGCTATCTTGTTGGAACTTGGGCGTACACTTGCATGTACCCTGCGTGTTTTTCAAACCATGGGGGTGGGGATTTGAACCACAGTTGGCCATATGGGAATCTAGCTCCCTTAACCATTAGACTATAAGGCCAACCTTACATAAATGCATTTTTAAAAAAGATTTATTTATTTAATTCTATTTTTTAATTATTTTAATTTGACCAGAGAGAGACAGAAAAAGAGTGAGAAAGCAAGCCACCAGGTCCAGGATTTGAACTGTAGTTTGCCATGTGGGAGTCCACCACCTTAACCACCATGCCACCTGCCGGCCCCACATAAACAACCCATAGATCTTTTTTTTTTTTCATTTTATTCATGATTGATCATGTGTGCATGCGAGAGTGAGAGAGACAGTGAGACATCCTCCACAGGGTCCAATCATGCTGCTGTCCTCCTCTGCCAGTCCTCCAAGCCTTCAGATCCTGGGCACCTGCATAGTGCCTGTCATGTTCCAGGCCAACTGGGCTGGCCACCCAAACTGCCAGTTTGCCAGGTGAGACGCCACTCCTCCCAGGCAACATATCACTACTGTTCCACTGGGCTGGCCCAAGTTATTGTACTTTTTCTTTTTTTTTACTTTTAGAATGTAGTAGATTTAAAGTAAGTGTAAATACACATTATAATAAGGTATGTGTGGGATCAGGTGGGATTATGTCTGATCTCAGCATGTCTAGCCTCCTTGGGTGAACTGTGTCCTTTTGAGGCCAGGCACCTGCTGCATCAGCTTTCCATTCTGAGTGATGGTGACTGGCTGGAGACTTGTGGGAAGGACCTATTATATTTGATGCTGTTACAGTAGCATTTGCCTTAATTTATAAGAGAACCAGAATGTAAATTTCAGGATTTAAGTGTGTTCAAGGGCCAGATGGTTACACAGCAGTAAAATGCAATGCTCTACATGGCAGACCCCTAAGGAAAGCTTGCCAGTTTACATCTGGTGACCATCCTAAGCATGCCAGGCACACGTGTGCCTATGATCCAGGCTGGCAGAGGCTGGGGGTGACTGACACATCAGGACCCTGCTGGGGCAGAGTATCTCTGTGTCTCTTACTCATACAATAAATAAACTTAAGTGTGTGCTTAGATCTAGGGATTTGAAAACTTAGCATAACTTGATCCATTTGACCAGATATAATGACTTTAATTAACAAAGTTTGAGGGTATGTTTGTATATGAAAAATCCAAACTAGTTACAAAAAATATATTTAAAAATATAAAGTTATAAAAGATATGTATTATATCTTTAATAGTCCAGATAACATCTATACAGATAAATGGAATACTTTTATTACTATTGCATGTGATTGACCACACATTTGAATGCTAACCATATTCATATCACTTGGGAACCTCATCTCTGGGATAAGGATTTTCCTGTAAAAACCATAATAAGATTTGATTTAATATAACAAGACAAATTTTTTTTAGAAATAAATATTTAGGGCCAGCCAGTAGTATGTTGGTTGGGGTGACTGGGTCCCACGTGACTGCACAGTTCCAGTCCCAGACCTGGCAACTTAGAAAGTACACCAGGCCTCTGTGTGCATGCCCCAGATCCCAGTCGAGTAGAGGAAATGGGATTGCCATCCTTCCTAAAGGGATGGCCATCCCTCACATGGCGGAGCTTCCTCACTTCCCCTTTCTCGCCCTCTCTAGATAGCATGCCCTATAGCAAATTTAAAAGAAAAAAGCCAGGGATATGGGGGGAAAGTCCTCAGTTTTCATAGGGAAAATGTGGTGGTCCTCCAACTTTACAGCTTGGAATTCCAAAGTGTAGGTTGTCTGAAGAAGTTAACACTTTCGTTTCTGAAAAATGTGAAATAAGCTGAAATACTTTGGTAAAGTTGGAAGTGAATGCTGGAAAGGACATACTATATGGATTTGTATGTTTTAATAATCAACCAGAGGACCAGCAGATGGCATAATGGTTATGTCACTGGACTCCAACATAGTCAACCACAGTTTGAGTCCTGGACCCAATGACTTAAAACTCACACTGGACGCATATGCATGCATGTGTGCTCTACATCCCAAGAGGAGAATGGAGAGGGGATTGTGGTGTGGCCATCCCTCCTTGGGGGGTGATTTCTTACTTTCTGTCTTTCTGGTGAGTACATGCACCCTATAGCAACAATCTCTCTTATAAAAAATAAAATAATCGGGACCAGCAGATGGCATAATGGCTATGTCACTGGACTCCCATGTAGTCGACCGCAGTTCAAGTCCCAGACCCGGTGGCTTACACTCACGTCAGGCGCGTGTGCGTGCATGCCCAAGATCTCGAGAAGAGAATGGAGAAGGGATTGCGGCGTGGCCATCCCCCCTGGGGGGGAGTGATTTCTCACTTTCTGTCTCTCTCTGGCGAGTGCACGTGCCTTATACCAAAAAAAAAAAAAAATGCGCTCAAAGAAAAAACTCAAAAAATAAATAAAATAATCAACCAGAAGTAATTAGTTGCCTCTGTGTGAACTCTGGAGCAGGATGGGGCTACTTTGGTTTCCCTCATAGAGGATTCTAGCTGGAAAGAGACTCTGTGGGCAAAATGGTGGTAACACTAGAGTAGGTCAATGTTGGGACACTTCCTTTCACTGTGTCCAAGTAGGATCCCCAAAACACTCCCAGGAAAACCTGGCCACAGGAGATGCTGTCTGCACTCCCTTCACCTGTAGAAAGATGATCCAAGTTAGAGAAGACATGATTCTTTTGTGGTAGAAATAAGAGAAACAGTGAAACTCTCGACTAAGACTCTCCCTTTCAAAACCCGTGATGCCTGAGAACTGCAGGCTCTCAGGGTAACCTGGGTAAGGGTTAACTTTTGTGAGAAGACAGCTTTCCAGATCAGAAACTAAAGGCCGCCAAGACCAGACCAGACCAAGAAATGGCCAGGGTTGTGATCAGATAGGACTCAGGAGAGCGTGTGTGGAGCTGGTCACAGCATGGTGGACAGCGTCGTCTCCTGGGAGAGACTGCATAGCAGATGTACTGCAGCACCAGGCAGGGCCTCTGATGGGCGGGGACGTTTGTAATTTCATTTTATTCATTGTCATTATTTTATAGGGACGTTTGTAATTTCATTTTATTCATTATCATTATTTTATTATTATTTTTTTTATTCTATTTAAGTTGACCAGAGAGAGACAGAGATGGAAGGTGAGAAAGCAACCTGTCAGGTCTGGGACTCGAACCATGGTCAGCTATGTGGGAGTCCAGCTGCCTTAACTAACGCGCCACCTACTGGCCCCAGAATGCCAAAAATTTTAAGCTCAAGGTAGAAGTGATACTTTGTAATCATTCTTTTTTCTTTTAAGAGGTTTTTGCCTTAGGGGCATATGCTCTCTAGAGAGAGAGAGACAGATACAGTGAGAGGGAAAGTAAGAAATCAACACAAAATGGGGATGGCCATGCCATAATCCCTTCTCCATTTTTCTCCTGGGATCTTAGGCACACGTGCACACATGCCTGGTGTGATTTTCAAGCCACCAGGTCTGGTATTCGAACCATGGTCAGCTATGTGGGAGTCCAATGACATAACCACTATGCCATCTGTTGGCTTTGGGAGGAGCTTTATCAAGAAGGTATCTGGGGGATAAGTTTATTTGCTCTGAAATGTGCAAGAAAATTACATAAGACCCTGATTAGGAAGGAACATTTGAAATAAAACAGTAAGGAATCCTTTCTGCCCTCTCCAGTGGGCCCTGGCTCCTTCACTTTAGCAGTGATGCCCAAGAATGAACTTGACCTGGAGTGGATGTTTTTCCTGGGTGTAAACTTAATGTCCCATTGGTTGGAGATTACAGAGTAACTGATCTGTAGGAGCATGTCATCAGCCTCAGGGAGAAAGTAGCTAACACGGCTATGAACAGAGAACGCAGGTGACTGGATCAGTGGCAATCTCTTACAGGGAAGGTATTTCCGAATCTTTTTTTTTTTTTTTTGTGTGTGTGTGTGAGAGGTTTTTCACTATAGGGCACGTGCACTCGCCAGACAGACAGAGAGAGACAGAGAGACAGAAAGCAAGAAAACACCCCCCAGAGGGGATGGCCACGCCGCAATCCCTTCTCCTCCATTCTCCTCTCGGGATCTTGGGCATGCACGCACACGCGCCTGGTGTGGGTTTTAAGCCACTGGGTCCGAGACGTGAACCGCGGTCGACTACGTGGGAGTCCAGCGACATAGCCATTACGCTAACTGCTGGTTCCCTCAAATCAACTAATTTTTATGCTGATGACATTTTTTTTTAGAGAGGATTTTTGCTACAGGGCATGTACACTCTCCAGAGAGACAGAGATAGAGAGACAGAAAGCTAGAAATCACCCCCTTGGGGGCGATGGCTGCAATCCCTTCTCCATTCTTCTCTCGGGATCTTGGGCATGCAAGCACACACGCCCAGCATGAGTTTCACATTGCTGGGTCCTGGACACGAACCGTGATCTACTACGTGAATCCAGAGAGAGGAACAGTAGGAGTGTGGGAAATAAGTGGTGTTTTTTGCCTTTATATCCTATAGGTCCCAGTCGGGATGGCACAATCAGCGAGGACACCATCCGAGCCTCTCTCATCTCTGCAGTCAGTGACAAACTGAGGTGGCGGATGAAGGAGGAAATGGACCGCGCCCAGGCCGAGCTCAATGCCTTGAAACGAACAGAGGAAGATCTGAAGAAAGGTCACCAGAAACTGGAAGAGATGGTTACCCGTTTAGATCAAGAAGTAGTAAGTAACTCTGACCTGAACTCAGGCTTCCCCGTATCCCACATGGCTCCAGCACACAGCGGTGACCCACTGTCCACACCAGTGTAGCTTGACCTAAGTGTGCTTCTTTTATTTTTTCCCTCTGGAGACAGAAATCACCCCCCGCCCCCACTCCTACCCCTGGGGGTATGGCCAGGCCACAGTCCTCTTAGGATTTGGGGCACACACACACCCAGCATGATTTTTAAACTGTGGAACTGAAACCAAGGTCAGTCAAGTGGGAGTCCAAAGCCTTAACCACCACTCTACCTGCTGGTCCCCTGAATGTACGTTTTTACCAACGGGTAAAGTGATTGAAAATGTGAGGGCTTTAGAGAAAGCAGTTTGTACATACGGATTAGCCTTCCAAAATGGCTCTAATCTGTCCAATGAGCTTAGCAGTAGGCAGCTCTCTTCTGAAGCTCAGTAAAGTGACCAGTACAATTCAGAGCCACAGGCCCGAACTGTGATGTCTTGTGTCTGGAGTGCAAGTGCCTGGGGCTTGTGTGCTAACTGCAGACTGCAGTCTCCTCTGCAGACTGGGGAGCATTGTACTCTGGCAGAGGCTCACTTGTTTGGAAGAAGTGTCCCCTACTTGTTTTCTTCGTAAGGTAACCTCTGCTGGAAAGGACCGTGCATGATGACTTAGTTTATGGGCTTGTCATTGTTACTGACATGCTTGGCTTAGGATAGTTCCACTGTTCTCCCATTTTTACCAGCATATTAGATCATACCTTTTCCTCTACCTTTGGCCAGTGTTGCTATTTGAAATCTTAAACTTACCCAGTTGTTCAAACATTGCTTTATTGGCCAGTCTGTACCTGTGCAGTTGAGCTGTAGCTGCCTGGTAAGTGGCTAATTCTGTATAATTAGTACAGAATCATCATGCTTTGGCTGTTCTGTTTTCAGGCTGAAGTTGATAAAAACATAGAACTTTTGAAAAAGAAGGATGAAGAACTCAGTTCTGCTCTGGAGAAAATGGAAAATCAATCTGAAAACAATGATATTGATGAAGTTATCATCCCCACTGCCCCACTATATAAACAGATTTTAAATCTGTATGCAGAGGAAAATGCTATTGAAGACACTATCTTTTACCTGGGAGAAGCCTTGAGGCGGGGAGTAATAGACCTGGATGTCTTCCTGAAGGTATGTCTTTGCACTCTGCTTTCTAGGCTTTGGGACTTGGGCTGTAAGGTGTTGACCTTGAAATCCACAGCCCAAGAGGGTTTCTCTGTAGGGTGGGTCATGACTCCTTGCATCCCCAAGAGAGAGTAAGCGAGAGGTACGGCTGTGAGCAGCATGTGGTCTCAGGTACACGGTGCTAAGGACTGATCCGAGAGGGAAAAGAGCGGGCTAGTGGCTGCAGTTCCTCCCACCAGGTGGCATCAAGACAAATGTAATTCTCTTTGGCCACTGTGCCTGGTGAATCGGGAGGCATGATCCGATTTCCATTAGTTCCTCAGGACATAGCACCTAAGTTGAGATCACTTACTGCCCCTTGCTCATTTTTCATAAGCTAATCTTGTAAGAGTGTCATAGTCTTAGACACGTTTTCCCGGATCAGATAGCCATCCAGGCTGCCCTTTGGGATGAAGGCTGTCTCAGGCTTCATGCTTATACAGACATGAAAATCTGGAAAGCCAGGTCTGGCTGCTGCCTGCTGGGTCCTGGAGAACACGGTTTCAAGAGCAGCAGCAGCCACCCCTTGCATATTTGATCCTGTGGCTTGCTGGTGCCTCGGTGTGCATGAGGCTGGTCAGGGCACTTACTGGTCTTGCCTGTCACTATGACCAAGTGGCCAAACCATATGCTTCAGATCCGGTGCAAGCACTTGAATGGCTGGGTACAAACCAGAGACCAAGACCAGACTCCCTTTCTCCATACTGTCTCCAGCTTGGGTAGCACAGCTTAGGGAGAGGCACGTGGAGAGGCAGAAGAGGTATGCTGCTTGCTAGGCAGTGAACTAGGACAGTTGCCGGCCCTGTGCTGTTCATCCCTGCCCATCTCCTCCTCGTAGCCAAGTGTGGACAGCAGGCACAGTTTGATCAAAGCTTTTTGTAAATTTGTTAGGGTTGTAATACGAGTTTCCCTGGCAGCTTGGTGGTCCAGGGTGTAACTCTATGATGGGGCTTTCCCTGTGGGTACGCTTTTATAGGCCCTTAGAAAGCTGTCTGCCTTAAGACAGTCTGCTGGCCTCCATGTGGTGGAGTTTAAAAAGCCACATGTAATGAGGCATTGGTTCCAAAGAAGTTTGAAATAGATAATGAGTTTAGGGGTCTTAGATCCCATCTAGGATACAAACTGATACTTCATCTCTGGGCCTGGATCAAAGCCTTTCTAAACTGATGAAACTTTCCTCCTTCCCAGCATGTTCGTCTTCTGTCCCGTAAACAGTTCCAGCTGAGGGCACTAATGCAAAAAGCAAGAAAGACTGCCGGTCTCAGTGACCTCTACTGACTTGCGTGAAATCAGCTGGAGGTCGGCCTCTTCCTGCCGCGTTCTTCTCTTCTCTTCTCTTCCTTTCTCTTGATCAGTAGGTGCCCAGAATAAGTTATTGCAGTTTATCATTCAAGTGTAAAATATTTTGAATCAATAATATATTTTCTGTTTTCTTTTGGTAAAGACTGGCTTTTATTAATGCACTTTCTATCCTCTGTAAACTTTTTGTGCTGAATGTTGGGACTGACTATGCTAAATAAAATTTGTTGCATAATTTTTCTCTCCTTTATTGGACTTGCTCAGGAAGTGAACATGAAACCTTAGTAAATAAGCCCAACTTTCCATTTAGCAAACAAAGCATAGACTCCATCACAAGTTGAACTTTATTATTATTTATTTTATGGCATACAAAATGAACTCTATGTATTATGGGCTAGACTACATAGAAATCTAAATTTTGAAGTATTTGAAATTGAGGGATTTAAGCAACTTTTTCTGTGAAAAGTCCAGGGCAGTTGCCCTCCCACTGCTTCCTTCCAGATTTGTTTCCTTTACAGACTGGACTGAACCAACTGTTCTCAAGAGCAGCAGAGTGGCAGGTACGAAGCTGCACACCTGAGAACCTCCATGAACTGGGCAGGATGGCCACTTGCGGTACAGTGTACACCACCTCCTGCTTTTGTTGTCATGTGAAGTCCAGTCTTAAGTGGGAAGTGATTCTGCAGCCAGCTGTGTGACCGCTGGTGAGCTACACAGCTGCTGTGTGTCCGGGAGAACTCATCCAGTAGGATGGGGTATTCTTTATCAAAACGGGAGTGCTAGGATGCTTACAGAGTTACAGAGCATTCGGATTTGGCTTACTTTCTTTTGAGATATTAGGGAATCAGGCAGGCAGTGCACTTTCTATGTCTCCCAGAGAAAATAGCTACCTTAGCCTCAGACATTATTGGGAGTTTATTAAGTCGTCAGAAAAGTCATGACGTGTTTTTCTGTGTGAAAATGCATTATAACTTTTCAGATGACCTAATAGATTTTTTAGTTTTAAAAAGTTAAAAATTCATCTATAAAAACTATCAGAATAGGGACCAGCAGTTAGCGTAATGGCTATGTCACTGGACTCCCATGTAGTCGGCTGCAGTTCAAGTCCCAGACCTAGTGGCCTAAACTCACAACAGGCGCGTGTGTATGTATGCCCAAGATCCCGAGAGGAGAATAGAGGAGAAGGGATTGCAGCGTGGTCATCTTCCCTGGGGGGTGATTTCTCACTTTCTGTCTCTCTGTCTTTCTGGCAAGTGCACTTGCCCTATAGCAAAAACCTCTCAAAAAATAAATTAGAAAAACAAACAAATAAATAAAACTATCAGAACTAGCAAGGTCAGGGCTAGCAGGTGGCATGGTGGTTAAAGGCGCTGAATTCCCATGTGGCCGACCATGGTTCAAGTCCCTGGCGGCTTGCTTTCTTGCTTCCCCTTTCTCTAGTCAAATTTAAAAATAACAAATGGAATCAAATAATTTTTTTAAAAACTAGCATGGTCAAATCAAAGTTTTGTTTAGTGTAAGAACTGGAACTAACATTTAGATTATTTTTGTGTTGATATGTACATTTATGTTTACATCATGGAGACATTTTGTTTTTCAAATAGCACATAAATGAACATAGTTGTATAAAGCCAGAGTGAAGGAATAACCACGTACCCGATGGGAGGATTAGCACTTGTCTAGCATAAAACGCAAGTGCCGCACCTTCTTGTGGACCAGATGGCAACTACCTATATGTACAAGGCAAGTACTGGGACATCAGAGGTACCAAAAGCACCTTAGATGGAGTCACTAAGGAACTGGGCCCAGGGGAGTAAGGATCGTCCATCAACAGGATACCAAATCAAAGAGCTAGAGGCCAGCAAGTGGCATCATGGTTAGGGTGCTGAACCCCCACATGACCAACTGTGGTTTGAGTCTCAGACCTGGTGGTCTGAAAATCATGCCAGACACATGTGTGTGCATGCATACCCAAAATCCCAGGAGAGTGGAGTACTGCAGCATGGCCATCCCCTCTGGGGGATGACTTCTCACTTTCCCTCTCTCTGTCTCTCCCTGTCTGTTTCCAGAGAGCACACAGCCCTATGGAAAAAAAACTAAAAAAAATAATAAAGTTTTAAATGGAAAAAGAGCTGGACGGCTAAATGCTGGGAATAGTAGTCACTTCCCTCTTTCCTACCGTTAGGTATTCAATTTGATTCCAAATTTGACATGTACGCCCCATAACTGCTAACTCTTCTTCAGGAACTTCAAAATAGCAGTTTTATATGACTGTAAAGCCTAGTGCCTGAATCTGAAATGTTTCTGCATGCTGGCAGACGGGCCTCTGCTTCTGGGGTCGGCTTTACCTGGATGAGATTTATGACATCTTTCTTTCCCAGGATACAAAGAACATTAAGGAATGTTGGTCATGTATTCACAGAAGCTCTCAAAGTAAATACTTAAAAAATGTAGCCAGCAGGTGGAGCGAAGACTAAGGTGCTAGATCCCATAGATCTAAGTGGTTCAAGTTCCACACCTGACAGATTGACAATCATACTAGCCGTGTGTTCATGCATGTCCCAAATCCCAAGAGAATGGGCCATCAGATTTGTAGGATGACTTACAGCAGAAAAATGCAGCCCCAATACACAGGATGATTTAAGACCTGATTATACATAACTACTGTGCAGTCACTTTTTAAACATGATCATCCCTACCTTACTTAGGGTGGAAACTGGATGCACCTCCTAAGATTCTGTAAAATACTTTCCATTAAGTCAGCTACAGATAGGCCAGTGTCCCAAGGAGTACACCTTCATTTTAATTATTTCACTGTAGAATTAGAAGAAATCATGAGCATAAGTTAGTTTTGGGGCCAGCAGGTGTGGCGTGGTGGTTAAGGTGCTGGACTCCCACGTGGCAAATTGTGCGATTTGAGTCACAGACCTGGGATTGAAAGTCCTACTGATTGTGTGTGCATGCATGCCCCAAATCTCAAGAAATTGGAGAAGGGGCTGGGGTGGCCAACCCCCTGGAAGGTGCTTTCTCACTTTCTGTCTCCAGCAAGTGTACATGCCCTATAGGAAATGAAAAATAAAAACAGACCCAGGGCTAGCCTCATGGTTCATTTGTAACCCACTTCTCAAGAGATACGAGATCACACATGGCAACGGGCTTGAACCCACCTCGGTCAGCTTAAAACACTCTGGGCGTGTGTGTGAGTACTCAAGATCCAGTGGGCTAGAAGACTAGCAATGTGACCAGATCTGTAGAGGGCCTGCTCTCGTGCTCTCTCTCAGGTGTATACACACATTATCGTGAATAAAAGAAAAGAAATGTATGGGACAGGCCCCATAATGCTGCAGTCAAAGCACTGTGCACAGTGAGCCAGATTGCATATGGCCAACCACAGTGAATCCTGACCCAGCAGCTTGAAAACTATGCTGGGCACACGTGCATACATGACCAGCCCCCCCTCCCCTCGAGGGGGTGCTTTCTCTCTCTGGCATGTGTATGCATCCTCTAGCCATAAAAAAGAAAAAGAGAAATGTATGACCCAGGGTCCAGCCCCAGTGAACTCAACTGCAGGGCTAGAAGCCACACGGCTATAGCTACTACAAGTTCAGAAGCCAAGTTGACATGTACTATGCCAGGCACGCACGCCCAAGATCCTGACTGACTGAGGTAGAGGAAAAGGACTGTAGTGTGATGAGACGCTGTCAGGCATGCCTGTCCTATAGAATTAAAACCAACTTAAAAAACACATGGCCTAGCCCACAGGACAGCATGGATCTGACCTTAAGGGCCAGGTGCAGTAGCACGCATCTGCAATTCTAGCTCCCCACAAGGCAGAGCAGAAGGATGCAATGGCGAGATCCTATCAAAACACCTCTCTCCCTTCTCCCTCAAGGATTCTTGCTCTTGTTCTCTCAACAAACAAACAAAAACCAAAACCAAACAAAGAGCAGTGGCAATGAGTGCACCTTGCTCAGATCTTGGCTTCTGATACCATTCTCTAATAAAAGGAACCGGCCAGCTGGAGTTGGCAGCTAACTAAGCTCCCAAAGGCCAAAGCGAGGTGATGTGAGAAACACAGTCTTTGATAATAACCCAGAAAGTAAAATACTCAGGAGTCCATACTGATACTAATGAATGACTGAATTAGTAACTGGGGGACAAATCGCCCCATGCAAAAGAACTAAAGTAATTTAATTAGGGGAGATTCCACCGCCTGGAAAGAGAGCATACTTCTCCACCCCTGAAGTGTGGGCTACACACACATACTTCCAAGGGGTACAGGGTGGAAAGGCAGGAAAGGAACTGCAGCAGAGAAACCTGGCCAGCACTCCCTTAGCCAGGCCACGGGAGCAGGATCAGAGCGGATGCATCATGATGGCAGTCCTAGGTATGATGCCATGAAAATGGCACTTTACTTCTCACCAAACTCCCAGACCCCATTCTAACCTTGAGAAGCAGATCCTATTTGAGGCGCATTCTATGTCAGACCTGACCCACTCCTCCGAATAGGCAGTTATCAAAATCGAGACTTGCCTAAGAAACAGTCTAGAGGAGCCCAAGGATGGTGACTGCCTACAGTGTAGCACCCTGGATAGGATTATGGAACAGAAAGGACATCGTGCAAGAACGAAGGCGTCTTAGAGTGTGGACTTCAGTGAATGACTGTCAAGAACGGTTCTTTAGCAAATGTACCGCATGGTATAATGCTAGTAACTGTACTGGATTATGAAGTCTGCATTATCTTTTCAGTTTTTCTGTAAATCTCACACTGTTTTAAGAAGTAGAGTCTGTAGAAAAAGTATTCTAACTCAGTTTCTCTGGACCCTCTTTCCTTATTTATAAAAATAGAATGAATAGAATATCCAGCCCTTGTATTCATGAGTCAGCACTTTCTCTTTTTTAATGTGTGTTTGGCTTTTAGTAGTTAATTCAACTGTCTACTGCCCTAGACTTGGGACACAACATAAATGAAACAGTGGATCTCACATCATAGTGAAGTGTATGTATTATGGTACATAATTCAGTAACTTTCAGAGACATTATACTATGTTTTCTC